GTAGCAGCTATTCAAGCTCGGCGTGACGCTAGGCTTGAGAGTCAGTCTTCAGCTAGTTCGCAGTGATGGCTTCACGGGGTGATTTACTTCTTATCAAGAACGCTGGAGTTGGAGAGGACCTCTACCATGAGGTGATGATCACGGGCAGCAGCGCTGATGACCCAGCCGAGGTGACGCTGCTCACGGCCGAGCAGGACCGCTACCGGTTCAACATCTCGCCCAGTGACGACGCGGAGGCTGTGCACTGGATTGGAACGCAGGGAGGACGTCCAGCCCATGTGCCAGAGCATCTGCTGCCAGCAGCAGGCACCTGAAGCCAGCAGCTGGCTCCTGCTCCTCCTCCTCCTCCTCTTTCTCCTCCTCCATTTTGGCTCAAGCGACTGCATGGCCTGGACGCATTCCGCGAGCGACATGTCGTGGCCTAGAGCCCAGAGGGGCTCGGGCCGCGCTCCATGCTCGTCGAGGCGGCTCTTCGCGCGGCGGTGCAGGCGAAAGCGCCTCGGCGGACGGTTCAACATCTCGCCCAGTGACGACGTGGAAGCTGTGCACTGGACTGGAATGCAGGGAGGACGTCCAGCCCATGTGCCAGAGCATCTCATCTGTCGCCTCCGCCAGCACCTACAGCCGGCAGAGCGCAACAATATTTGGATTCGCGGGTCGAGAGAGCGCACCTCTTCCGGTCGAAGCTCAGCGGGCCGCGCGAAAGCTTGCAACAGCAGAGCGCAACAGGCTCCGCGGCGAAGCCCAGGGCATGCCGGGAGCGCCGCCCGGCCCCGCCAATCGGCCCCGGCGGCGTGCCCCCTGCGCCATGCGCCGCGCCAGGGCCGCGGGCGCCCCGCGGCTGCGGGCGCCCGCCGGGCCGAGGCGGGCCGCGCGTGGGTCTACGCCGAGGACTACTCTTCGATTCGCGGGTCGAGAGCGCACCTCTTCCGGTCGAAGCTGAGCGGGCCGCGCGAAGCTTGAAGTAAGTAGAGATGGGGGGGGGAAAAGGGCCGCCGAGGACTACGGGCGTCAGCAGAAGGGAGACGCCGTGGCCGAGCTCCCGGCGGGGGCGGCGGTGCCTGGAGAGAGGGCGGCGGTCCCGACTCCCGAGGGGGGGGCACGGTCGTTCCGCAGAGGATGGCCCAGAGCGCGGTCGACGAGTGCAAGATGGACGACCTCAGAGGGCTGCCAGTGCAGCTCGATGCCCTGGGCCGCCGCAGGAGGCCCTTCCATGATAGGGTGGCCAGCTTCGTTCCGGACGGAGCCGAGGGGGCATGGGCCTCGAAGGCCCCGGCACGGTGGCCTGGAGGTTCCAGGCCTACGTCGACCGCTCCCAGACGCCAGTCTCGCAGCACGCCTGTTGGCGGACCACTTCAGGAGTCTCGAGTGGCGACCGGAGCGTCTTCGAGCATGAGGTGCTCTCTGAGGTGCTGGAGAGTATGGTCTGTACTGACAAACTCCATGCCCCGACTCTTCGCTCGGCAGAGCTCATCTGCCGCAGGCTGCAGCTGATCGAGAATGCCCACTCGCTGAACCCATCAGCATCAGACTGCTCGGTTTCAGATCATCAGCGCCCCAGCTACAGCAGCACGTTTCGACCTCCCTCCGCGACGAGCACCAGGTGGCGAAGGAGCAGCGCAAGGCACGAGAGGAGCGCCGCCTCGGCCGACAGTCAGGCAAGGACGGAGGCAAGGAGGAGGAGGACCAAGAGGGGTAGGGGTGATGCAGCCCCCCCTGGGAGGCCTGGGACCTGACCTTCCAGTGGCGACGCACCCAAGAGGTCCACAGTTTTTCGAGAGAGCTCGTCCTCGAGATCTCTTTCCACTTCCTCAGGTTGCCGAAGAGTCGGCTACCGTGGGCAGTCCTTCTGGTTCAGTGCGAAGACGCTTGGCGAGGAGGATGTGTTTGGATTGAGCTACCAACTTTGTCATCAACACTTTGAATGAGATGCACGGCGGCGCCGAGGTAAATGATGGGACCCCTGCGCTTGGCCAGATGCACTCACAGGATGCGATACGCCGTGACGTCGCCTCCACTCCGCCGTCCCAAACCATGTATACCAGACACGGAGCCGTTCGCGAGCTCTTGTCAGGCATCGTTGACTACTCAGGAAGCGATTGCAGCACCACGGTTCGTCACTTTCGGCGGGATCAGGTTTGTCTTCCAGATCCTGGGAGGCCTTCGGCAGATCTGCTGACTACTCTCCCGGAGCCTGACCAGGATTTGCTGAAGTCATGGGATACTCAAATGCTAGCTGACCCTGCTGATGTGTTGTTCGATCGAGAGACTGGGCATCTGTTTAGGCTGTACTTCGACGGGAATGTTAAGACGCAGTGTGAGGACTTCGTAGATTTTTTGAGAGACCTTAGCAACGCGAAGATGATAGGTTGGACGGAGACCCCCCTCAGCCTTGTGACGCCTTTGTTCGGGGATGGACAGAACCCCCTTTAGCAAAAACGTGGTCTAGTGAAAACGACCTCGGGCCCAAATCTGGCGGGCGCAAGCCTGGAAAATGACGGCCGCGGCGCCCTCTCGAACCTAAAACGGACAATTCACTAATTGACGTGTCAGGGCGGGGTTCTGTCCACCCCCAATTTGTTTGTTGTCAAGAAGAAGGACCGACTACGTCTTACTATGGACTGTAGGAATACGAACTTGCTGTTTTTCGGGCCCCGTCGGCCCCTGAGACGGGGACAGCTGCTGCTTGGGCTGACCTCGAGCGGCCGCAGGAGGAAGCTTGGCAGAATTGACGGTGATGAGGGTCAGGACGGAAGCAGGGGGAAGTAAGCCCTGGGTGGCGCAGGCTGATGTGAAGGACTGCTTCCACTGCGTTCGCAACTTACCAGAGCTGTGCCGCTACTTCTGTCTGCCGCCTGTCACCGAAGGGGAGAGGATCGCCGCGGGGATCGGGGACTCCGAGGCTCTTGGGGACCTGGTCCGGCCAGCCTGAACGAGGAGAGCGCCTACGCAAGGTCTGCGAGGCACTCGAAGGAAGTCAACCCGTCACGAGCCGACAGTTGGAACAGTTCCTTGGACATGTGGTTGACTTCATTCTGACCAGGCGAGAGTCTCTTCCAGTGCTGCGTGCCGTGCACGACGTCGCTCAGCAGGCAGGAGAGTGCACCCAAAGTATGTGGCCATCTGCTCCCCGCGAGGTGCGCCGGATCCGATCCCTGACTTTTGTTGGCCTGGCTCGGCTGGACAGGTCTTGGCACGATACTCCAGATTTCGTAATAAAAGGGAGGGGGTCTGGACCCTCCAAGACAAGCCATTTCAGACCTCCCCCGTGGGAGAACCCTCCAAAACATCGTCCCCAGACCCCCCAGGCCCTCCAAGATAGCCTGGAAGAGACCCCCCCCCTGAAATGAGACCCCCCTCCCTTTATTACGAAATCTGGAGTACAGTTCCGTCGACGGATGCGCGCGAGACGGGAGCGGGTACTGCGTCGAGGCAGGCAGACCCTCCGGAGGTGGCCCGGATCGGCCGCATCCGAGAGCGTTGGAGATGTCGATCTCGCCATCGTCCCCGTCAGCACGTTCCAGGTGGGGACCCATTGGGCGATCTGGAAATAGTACAGTCGGGGCCTTGACCTAAGGAACCCTAAATAAGGAACGAGGCCCCTTATTTCCAGAAGTTAAACTTCGATTTCCCATCGAAAACCTAAGGAAAATCCAAGGCAAGCTGCGAAACACTTAAGGAACACGGAGCCCCTCCCCAACGAAAAGGGTTCCTTCTTCAGGGCCCCGACTGTATTGCCTGTAACCCGTCAAGCCTGAGGAGAGGCCCTGGAGGACCTGGAGCACGACCTGGGGTTCGAAGGGGTACCAGAGGCCTTCGTGGATCACGACAAGTGGCACGAGGCCTTCGCCATGCGTTTCAGGAGGGAGGAGGCTATACCTACTCTTGAGGCTCGGGCATCATTACTGGGGGTTCAACATTCTATGCGATGAACTCGGTCGTTGGGTAAGCGTCTATTACTCCTGAGGGACCGGCTGGGGAATATTCTGGCCACTGGGCGGCCTCGGGCATCATCATACGACCTGCTCATCATCATCGGACGTATTGCTACGCATCTGTTGGCTACTGGTTCAAGCCTTCCACCACGCTGGACACCTTCAGAGCTGCATGAGAGAGCAGACGGGTCCTCCAGACGATGGGCGCCAGACGCCGGGGCTTCGCTGGGCCGACGAGGCCCCGGGGCCAGCCCGACGGGCAGGCCGGGTGACGGCGCTGGCGCGCCAGGAGCAAGGAGTCCCGTCTCGACTCCAGGTGCACCACCGAGGCATGAGTAGGGGAACAAAAACTGGCATAAACATAAAAACTCGGAAGTCCGCGCGGATTTCTCGGATCGGCGCCGGACCCCCCTCCCTGGCCCGCGGAGCGCGCCAGGGGCGGCGCCGGAGGCACCGCCGGGGGGCCCCAGCGCCGATCCGAGAAATCCGCGCGGACCTCCGAGTTTTTATGTTTTATGTCACTTCTTGCTCCCCTAATGAGCCCCTCCGGCCCCGCCAGCTCGCCCGCCCTTCGTCTTCAGCGGCAGGTAGCATCGGAGCGGAGACCTCGGGGCCGACCAGGGAGGCTCGCCGCGAACGGCGGCTGGGCGTCTTCGGGACCTTCGTCGATCAAGCCCTGGCCGGCCGCCATACCATCTCGAACGTCGCTCGATCACGGCACCCACGGAGGCCCTCTACACAGCCTGGTGGGAGGAGCTCCACACCATGGACAGCGTGAAGAATGGCCACACCATGAGTGGCCATGAGTGGCCACACCATGGACAGCGTGAAGAATGAGTGGCCATGAGTGGCCACAGCGTGGGATTTTGTGGCCATGAGTGGCCATGAGTGGCCACAGCGTGGGATTTTGTGGCCGTGAGTGGCCACACCACGGACAGCGTGAAGAATGCAGACACCGCCCCTCGCGGGGAGGCGTCCGAGGCCGGGGTCACCGACGGGGCGCTGCTCCTCGACTCTCTCCCCGCCTGCTCGGCCCCGGGCCCGCACTGCACCGCCGCCTCCGAGGCCAGCACCTCGCGAAGCTCTCGCCATCAGCGAGAGGGAGCTCAGCGCCCAGTGGGGCAGGGCGCAGGAGGAGCGGGGGCTGGCCAAGGAGCAGCAGCACCGCCTGTACCAGCTCCGCCATGCCGGCCCCTCGCACGACATCCCGATGGGCGTCTGCACCCTCCTGGACGTCACGCGCCGCAGAAGGTGGAGCTCCGACGCGATCGTGGAGAGGTACGAGGCGGCCGGCGTGGTTCAGCCAGAGTGGGCGAAGCTGTCGCCCGCCCAGCAGGCCGCCGCGAGGCACGCGGCCGAGTGGATCACTTGTCATGTGGGTTTGTTCTCAGACCACAGCCCGGGCGTGCCCGCCTCTGGGAAACGCAGAGGAGCATCCAAGAGCTCTACTCCGGCACGCACGGCATCCTCGACAGTGTGGGCCTCGAAGGCATCGGTGGCGTCGGTTGGGACACGAGCATCAACCCGCACGCGGACCTTGCCAAGGAGTCGGTCATCAAAGGAATCGCCCGCGACTTCAAAGCGCCGAAGAACCGATTCGGGCTGAACGCCAAGTGCTCTGCTCTCTGGGTTGGCATCGTGTGCTCGACTTGGACTCGCATTCGTGACAGACCACCTCTCCCTAGATTGCGTGATGATACGGTGCAACTCTTGGGATATCCTACCTACGTACGTGCCTGTGATGAGGCGGCTGTCAAGCTAAGCAATAAAATGGTGGATGTATTAGTCGAACTACTCTGGGAGCTGTTGCCAATGCGAGTGGTTGTTGTCATCGAAAATCCGTTGACGTCTGGTATCTGGCTTCATCCAGGACTAGTTCGGTTGAGAGAAGCGTTTCCTGAATGTCATGAAGTTATGTTGGATCAGTGAGCGTACGGTACCCTTTGGAAGAAACCCACGAGACTGCTGGCGTTGTATTTGGATGAGATCAGATCTATGAGACATCGCTGTTCAGGCTCCAGAGGGCTCTGCAGTTTCACCCAGCAGCCTTATGCGTCTCTTGTCGGCAAATCTCAGGGCGTCTGGCGTACAAAGAAAACCTAGGAGTACCCTCAGAGGTTCTGTGAGGCCTTCTCCCGGTGCTTAGCGCAGCAGTTCAGGAAACGTGAGTCCTCTTCTTTGTAGCTCCTCCTCCCCTCGCTCTCTTGCCAGGACACTATATGATAGCGGATTCGGAATTAGGTGTAACGTAATCCACACTGCGTTCTGATTTACTCTGAGCTGGGATACCTGAGCCGTAGTCGAATTGATCTGCCACGGAACAGCTCGAGCTCAGCTGATTTGAACGATCTCTGTCAGTAAAGTTGCTGCTATCGAAGTTCGCCCCCTCCGCCCGTGAAGCTGCCTCACTTACTCTTCCACGTCCTCTCGCACCTCTTCCAGCGCTTCTTCTACCTTCTCCACCGTCGCTATTTCCACCTCCATTATTTCCTTCTGCAGATAGCACTCATCGCCTACAAGAGTTTTCCTCGATCCTCGACACAAGTCGGTTGGCAATTGCCAACCGCGGCCAGCGATCCAGGCCAATATGTGCACACGGCTCCTTTACATACTTACGGCCTCCGTGCCTGTGCCTGCCTGCAGCACCTTGTGGCTCATGCGCCTGCTGTCACTGTGCGGTGTGCCTGCAGTTCCTGTGCGTTCCTGTGCCTACGGCTCCTGTGCCTGCATACTGCATGTGGCAATTGTGCACATGGTCTTTGCCTCATGGCCGCTTAGATTCGCGTAGCTCAGCTCAGCACGCCTTGCCGTAGCATTGTTCTGCGTTGCGTAAGCTAGCTGGGCCCCACTACACCTTCCCTTGAAATGCCGTGAGGCACTTACGCTCGTAATAGCTCCGTATCTGCTGACCCTCTTGAAGGCACAAGGGTGTGAAATATGCTGTTGGGCTTTTACTTGAGTTGTCGTGTGCTTGGGCATCATACTTCTCAACCCATGTCTCCAGTTGATTATACACGAAGGGAGTCCGAAGGCCCCAAAGGCCCACCCAAAGACGGCTCCAAGAGCACAAGACAGTCGAAGATGGCTCCAAGATGGCTGTACATGGCCGAGACACCCCCTAGAGCTAAAAAAAATGCAAACTAGCTTGTTTTAGATGTTGATTGCCTGTCCCGTGTGTTGCTCCTAAGATGTTCAAGGGTCCCTTCAAGACGGCCCGCAGAGTCCCCGAGAATTATCAAGATGGCCCCAGCGTGGCCCCAAAAGGCCCCCAGCTGCCGCCAAGATCGCCCAGGATGGCCCAACACTGGCCCAACCCGGCCAGGATGGCCCAAGAGGCCCCGAAGATGAGCTCAAGAGGATTCAGGAAAACCCAAAAAGATGCCACATGTGCCCGCTGAGGTGGCCCGAAAGGCCCCACGGTGCCTCCGTGAGAACCCCAGGTGGCTCCAGAAGGGTCCAAAGACTGTCGACAAGATGGTTCAGCCTGGGGGCCCCGCTGCAGAGGGCGCAGCTCTTCAGGCCCAGCCGCTCCCACAGGCGGTGCGGACCGTGCAAGATCAGTTTG